CACCCTGCTGGAACCGAGGACCTGCTAACAAAAAAGGAAATGACATATTTAAACTCATTCAATCAAATAATTATAACATTCATGCTCCAGACGAGCCCACCCATTACGGGTACAATAGCGCCACCACAATTGACTTCTTCATCTCAAATAACATTACTAACAGATGCAATATCTCTGTAATTTCAGCCCTGTCTTCCGACCACAACCCCATTGTATTTGAAATCCCCATTAATAAATACCTCCCCTCACTTGACAGAAGTATAGGAGTTACAAATTGGATCAAATACTCTGAAATTCTGAATAACTCCATACAAGGTAACCCATGCATCAACAACAAAGAAGATTTAGAACACGAAGTCTCAAAATTTACCAACTGCATCAATTCTGCTTTAAAGGAAGCCACCAATACTTTTTATGTGAACAAGCCTTTCCTCCCCTGCCTGCCGATATAAGAAATAGTATTAAAGAGAAAAACCGGATCCGTAAAAGATGGCAAACCACCAGGGATCCACAACTCAAACACGAACTAAACTCTATGCAAAAAGAAATCAACAGAAGAATCAAGAACTTCAAAAACCAAAAATGGACCAATTTCCTAATTTAATAACCTAGCTATAGAGGACAGTTCCCTATTTTTCCCGCAAATTCAAGAAACCTTATAAACCTATTCCACCTATCCATGGACCTAGTGGAATTTCATATACAGAAGATAAAGCTAAATCTTTTGCGGACTATATGGAAGATACATTCACTCTTAATCCCACTCCGTACGACAATAACCATATTGAACGGGTCAACAAGGTGGTCAATAACTTCCTTGATACCCCTGCTCCGTACACTTTCACTTTCCTGACCATCGTTGCTAACACCATCAGTGCCTTACAAACGAAGAAAGCACTAGGGCACTATGCCATCTCGATCAAAGCACTGAAGCATCTTCCGATCAACGCTCTTACCTGCCTAACTAAGATAATCAACAACATTATCAAATTCGCTCATTTTCCTAACTCATGGAAGCAAGCTATAATAATTGTTTTTGCTAAACCGCAACAAAATCCAACCTTCCCACAGAACTATCGCCCTATCAGTTTACTTAACCATCTGTCTAAAGTTACTGAGAAAATTCTCAGATTCGTTTCCACATCCAAAAAATTCACCCTTCCATGAATTTCTCCCAGAAGAACAATTAGGTTTTCGTAATCATCATAGCACTTGCCACCCATTTCTTAGAGTTATCAACATTATCACTGAAGGCTAAAACTGCAAGTTTCCGACCGGTGCTATATTCCACGATATCGCGAAAGCTTTTGGCAGGGTATGGCATCGAGGCCTTATTTATAAACTAATCACTCTCAATTTTTTCAGATCATTTTATTCGCTTAATAGCCTCTTTTCTCAGCAACAGAACATTCAAAATCCAAATCGGTACTGCTTACTCTACCACCAGAGTAATCAATGCTGGTGTTCCACAGGGGTCGGCACTTTCACCGTATCTTTTTAATATTTATACACAAGACATTCTAAAGACCCTTCTGTTCATCTTGCACTCTTTGCCGATGACACCGCCATACTTACTAATGCCTGCACATTATCGCCGTAAGAAACCAACTAAAAAACTATCTCATAAAACTGGAAATATGGCTCACCCTTTGGAGGACTAAAATTAAAACTGATAAAACTAAGGTAATAATTTTACGTAAAGGAAACATGAAATACTATCCTCCACCCCCTAAAATACTTGACGAAGAAATAGACTGGATTAATGAAACAAAATAACTTGGAGTCACCCTTGACCAAAAATTTACCTTTAGAACCCACTTCCGGTCCGTAGTACAAAAATTTAAAATCATCACAGCTACTATGCGACCTCTTCTTGGTAGAAAAAGCAACTTATCTACTACAAACAAATTAATTCTATATCGCTCCATACTTCGCCCAGCCCTCCTTTATGCAGCACCGATCTGGGGACATGCAGCTAAAACCAATATTAAACAATTACAAATTCTACAAAATAAAATTCTACGAGAAGTTATCAATGCTCCTTGGTATATTCCAAACATCTATATTCACAGAGACCTTCGAATCGAACTTTTTCAAGAGTATATTAAACGATTAGCGGTCAACTTCTTTTATTCAGTACAAACCCACAGTAATAGCCTTATTAGCCCTCTCAGACACTCCCCGCATCCCAGAGAAAAACATGGCTACCCTTGTGACATCCTACCCACATAAGAATTACAACCTTAATTGACTCATTCACGCTAAACTGACTCTGCGGTTTACCACCGGCGGCTACATCTTATAACGACACTTTACTTGCCAACCCCCCTTTTTTTCGCCGCAGCTAGTGCGGACCTCACTCTCTTTTTTCCGCCTCCCACACTTCCTTCCACCCTATTCTTTCTCCTCCTACCCAATCCTTATCAGAAGTCGAGTAAAAGGATGTTTCTACATCTTGACACTCGAGAATAAAATACGATCTGTGATGTGATGATGATGAATTTCGGTAGTCATCGAAGGCCGGGGATTCAGTTTTCCTGTTTTGAAGCTAGGTATTTACATGGTGGGGTGCACGTGTTCGCTCATGAAAAAAGCAGTTATTTAGGTCACTGTTATTTTTGGAACGATTTCGTAAATTTGACTTGTATCTTCGTCTTTGTGGACTGTAATTTCTACGCCTATTCATTTCTGCTATCTGCAGTGTCAAGTTTGATATCTGTTTCTGTAGATCTTCTGCTATAATGTTATCAAATGGTAGAGAAACAATGCGAGCTACCTGGGGTGGATTGGGAATTAATTCCCATATTTTGTCTGCCATTGTAAATAATTTGAACAAATCATCTCTGATTACAGATAAAATACTCCGCATATTAAGTGGTAGTCGTTGCAACCACAATGTTTTCAAAATTCATCCGGAACTTGCTCAGCCATCAAGTTACGCATTTCGCTGAGAAGTTGAGATAGTTTCTCATCACCCTGTTCTAATTCGGTCAGAAGTTTCTGAGTTTTCTGTGTTTCAAGATCAGGCAAAATTTCAATAAGCCTCTTTTTAATCCCCGAATATTTACCGTTGTCTGGTTGTTTAATCCCCGAATATTTACCGTTTTTAATCCCCGAATATTTACCGTGATTTGGTGAGAATATTAGAGATTTGGAACAATGTCCCTGCTTCAGTAGAACTGACTACATAATCGTATTTTGTTTGATCAGCCGTGTTCCAGCATTGCGGAATTTGGCTTTGATATGAAGAAACCATATTTGAGGGCTAGATTTCCAAAAAAAGAGGAATTTTGATACTGATCCTGGCGACAATCACAGTTGCTGCATTAGTTTCGGTTTGTTTGATTTTATCTCCGTCAGCCATAGCAGAATTAGGCTTAACGGATGCATAGCTACCCCTGTTTATTTTTTTATAGCTTAAGTTTCTCCAGTTTTGCATAGTAAAACTAGTTCGTTTACTCTTAACACATTTGATGCGTTCTGAAAATTTCCAATAAATTTACAGCCTAATTGTATACATCACCGCCGAAGACATATTGCAATATAGAACATAATTTAATTTTTTAACGTTTACTTACCATTTCAGAAATATTTCAGCCTCACGTACACTCGGGATTTATACTTCTCAGACGCATAAAAATATTCGAAACATGAATTTTTAATGTAATCCGTGCACACACAGAGGCACGACGAAATCGAAACTGTCACTCAGTCCACCCTCGAACTCAGGAAAAAAATACAGGTAATTGCAATGGGGTAAGTAACTGCTTACGACGCTGTCCATAAGATATATTCGATAACAGGAGAACAGTTTATAACGTGCGTATAATGTCCGAGACATATCGTTATCTTACAAAAATATTGCACGTTCTTTTTCCATCATAAACTTCATAAATAGAATTGGATCACATCCGAGTAAACCAGTGTGGAAGTCTGGAACGTAGGAAAATGTTAAATACTATTCTGACTCTGATAAGATTAATATTTATTTACATTTTCTCATATCGAATCACACAGACATAAACTCCAGTTATTATTCTTTTGATTCTCGGTGGCTTAATGTTGCCACTCTAGAGAAAGAAAATTAGAAGCGAATAGATTAACAGATGGCGCTTCAGTAATGCGAGTGGTGTCGCCACAAGCAGCAAACAATTCAGCGCATGGAATAGCCAGCTTGATCACCGAAGTGAATTCTATCGAGCATATTTGTGATGCTTTAGGAAAACGTATAACTGCTCTCAATCCCCTTCTTCAGACCCTTGCTAAACTTGAAGTTGGTTAGCAAGAGCAATGGCTGTCACTTCCTACGGAGCTGATAAGATGCATAATTGACATCACACATGTATGTGCTGTATTGCTTTTAGGACAGATCAAGCTCTATACTGAAGGTAATTTTCATATACCAAACTGACACATCCGATTTATTCATTTTATGCATATGCTAATATTTATAACATCATAATTGTCTGGTAAATCTTACTGTGTGTTGTATACTGGTTTACTTTCATTAAATTTTATATGTGACTTTTTGAGTAATGGTTATTTTGTGAATTTTTTTAAGTTAATGATAACCAGTGCATAAGCTAGGTGATACTTTTAAAGCATGTTTAAAATGCAAATTGAATTTCATCAATCGACCATTGAGAGAAACCGAAATTGTTTTGTCTGTCTTTCTCTTTTTTTTCCCCACACAGTTTTGCATTATTAAAATCGCTCTGAATGTTTTTTATGCTAATGTACTGGAAAGCGCTTCAGTTCGGGGCTGCCCATGAACTTTAATGGAACGTAGATTTTTCTGAATGTAATTTCTTCACATTTATGAGAGAAAAAATATATTTATATAATGTAATGTTTTATTCTGCCGTATGTTATAAAATCGAAGTTTTCCAGTGTGAAATCTTCTGTTGAATTTTCGAGATGGAAAATGAAAGTGTGGGTTTAACTGTAACCGTGGCTTAAAATTGTCAACAAAACAATATCGCGCGTGATTTATCTGATAGTAATCCCAATAAATGACGCGAAAAATGCTGCAAAAGTATAAAGCAGCGGGCCAGCTGTTTCAAGCATACGCTGAAGTCACCTGATCTTTTCTTCCCTTTCCTGATAGAAATTCTTGTTCTTTTTGCTTTGCGAACAGAGCAATGGATATCCGAAACTGTTGTCGGAATAGAAGAATTTTATACGCTTTTATCATTTTGATAATAGCTGCATGTGCAATAGCGCTTATAGTGTGGCTAGCTAAAGGAAAAAACAAACCAGAACCAACCTCCACATGTCCTAAGATATCGGATGTTGAGCGATTCGATTGTCACCCTAATCGTCCGATCAGTGAAAATGAATGTATCAAACGGGGATGCTGCTACATCCCTGCTACAGATCAAAACGTTTCTGATTGGGATTTAATTAATTCTTCTTATCTCGGGATACCATCTTGCTTTTTTCCAGAAAATTATAAAGGTTATAAAATTAGTAACATTGTAGAAAAAGATGATGGCTTTGAAGCAGATTTAAATCGGAATATTCCATCTGGTTTCCCAGATGATATTAATAAAGTGCATTTGATGATTGATTTTATTGATGATTACAGTTTGAGAATAAAAGTAAGTGAAACTTCATAATAAACTTTAAAAAAGGCACATATTTCTGAATATATAAAAATGCTAAAGCTTTTCATTTATTTTTTTAAAATTTTATGTACATTTTGAATTATGAAAAAGTGTTAAATTACAGTTGGTTGAAGTGTGCATAACTTATTATTATGATCCATTAAATACTTAATTTTTAATTAATAGCTTTCTAATTCAAGATACGAGCATCTTAATTAATTTGTATATTCAGGGTTGACATTATGGTTACAGAAAAGGATTGTGATACTAATTGATATATTGATTTAAATGTTTTGTATTAAATTAATATTATTTTATTAAGTAACAAATTATGTGTGTTTAATCTATATATATATATATATATATATATACATTTTTTTAAATAAAATATACACAATATATATGGTATATCTTGATTTTACATATATGCATATGTTACCGTGAAAGACCGAAATTGGAGAATGTCGACTTTCACCGGAGAATGTCAACATTCACAAAATACATCGGTGAAAGATCGAATATTTCTTTACATTCTTGTACATTCGAACCCTCACCGGTGTATGTCGATAATCACAGATATGCTCTGGTATAGGCCAAAAAGAGAGGAGTATATGTACACGCTGCCATTCCAAAAGGAAGTGTTCCACAAATAAATGCAGTTGTAAAAGCAAGGGTCTCTTGTGCAATTCAAAGTGTCATAATAGTTTAAGTTGTTGCAATAAATAAGATTTGAATCACATAATTTGGTAAGTTTATAACTTCTATTATTTTCCTTTCTCATTTTGAATGTACTGTGTGTTTTAAGTTCTTATTCTGAGTCTGAAGTGTGTTTTTTCGCAAATGAATTATGGGGAAGGAAATATAATACTCTTATATGTTCAACATTCACCATTAGTACATGGTGAATGTCGACATTCACCAATGTAAGTCAGAAATAAGAGTATTTTTAAAATATTTCGGACATACACCAAGCGATTATGTGAATGTTGACATTCACCGGTAAAAGTCGATATTCTCCAGATTTCGGTTTTCACCATAACACATACACACACTGCTGGTCATAAAAAATGCCATGTGAAAAAAAAGGTGGGGGCGCAAGATACAAAGCCATATTTGCTAGATAAATAATATAAAGGTATGAGGGTAAATTGATTAAACTTACAGCTGTGTTCAACTTGCAGAGCACAAAAGAAATCGGTATTTCGTGGAATTGCCATGACTGTCAATAACTGCTGTGACGCAACTTTGAAAGAAAAGGGGTTTGGGATGTGTTCCTTTCATTATCAAGATTCATGTTTAGTCAATCATTTGTCAGTCATCAATAGAAAGAACAGGCCAAGTCGGTGTATTTGTGGTCAATAAAGAATTCTTGAATGCTGCATACAAAGTTGCACATCATCCTGCCGAAAGTGGTTGCATGTAAAGACAGGAGAATAATAGGCTGCAGAACTTCAGAGATGTAAAAACAAATTGAACTTTTCTGTAATAAGGATCAGATTCAGAAATATGTATGTATGTGTGCATGTGTATGCACACACTTACATATGTATGTACATATACATATGTGCATAAATTTCTGAATCCAGTCCTGATAACAAAAAAGTACCAAATAAACAAACGGGTGTAAAAACTGAATAAAATTTATTGGTTAAAAAATGTAAATATCGGCTATACATTTGTTTTTCTCATAAAATTACTTGTTTGTGAAGAACTTTTCTCTATTATTATTTATGAACAGAAAATTACCTGTAAGTTGTGAAGATAGTCAAAACATTATTACCAATTCATAAAACAGCCAGTGAATTGGCAATTTTTCATGGGTGTAAAGTACTATCCCTCCAATGAAGGCATACTAAAGTTTTCCATAGAAAGTAATAGTTGAAAAGTACTCAACTCCAATACTTCATACAGCTTACTCTTCTTCCTTTTCACAGGAATTCAAGGTGGTATTACTGGCATACATGTTTTTCACATATGCTGGAATATTAACCATTTGCATGTCCTGTCATTCTTAATACACAGTGAAAATTTCACACCTGTTGAATGTTTTGTTCATAATACAGTACAAAGTCCGGGGTAGAGTAGACTTTAAAGTACCCCTTGTATTATGGCGAAATTGTTGTTTGATTTATCGCCAAGTTGTTGTATCATTTATGGTAGCCTGAGTAGTTGAATGTTATGGAAACCCTATTGTGACGTAATCGGGTGCATGATCTGAAATTTGAATCATGGGATATTTTGTAAGCGTTTTTGTGGTGTGTGTTGGTTTGATTCTTTAGACGGTAAATGGCCGGATGTAGTAAGATTAATTTGAAGTTTCTGTATGATTTGGAGCGAAAGGGGAAAAGAGCTTTAATTGACTGGTGTGTAAATGAAGGTTTACTTAGTAGCCATTATAAGTGTCCTGTATGTAGGAAGGATATGCGTTTAGTCGAACGTAAAAACCGTTTAGATGGATTTGAATGGGTTTGTAGGAAGAAAGGTTCAGATGGTCATTATGCAAAGCGTTCAATCAGAAAGAGTACCTGGTTTGAAAAAAGTCATTTGAGTATGATTGATATTTTGATTTTTACGTGGCTCTGGGTGTATGAAGTGAACTTGAAAATCATGGTAAGTGAATATTTGCTTTTGGTAGTGCTTAAATCTATAACATGTTTTTCCTTTTTTATGTTATTTTATTGTTTGGTTTAAAATGTATTTTATTGAGATTATGCATTTTTGTTTGCTATATTGTAGAATTTGGTGCTCCTTTGACTTTTTAAGTAAAAGTATATCGATGTGTACATGGACAAAGTGAAGGGAGTGCGGAATGCAAGTTTGTGCAATTCTGGGATTTTTTTTAAGTGAAAATAAGTCGACGTACATGGATAAAGTTAAAAGAGTGCGCAATGCCATTTTTGTGCAATTTGGAGATTTTTTTTTAAGTGAAAATAGGTTGACATTTACATAGATAAAGTCAAAGGAGTGCGCAATGCCATTTTTGTGCAATTCGGAAATTTTAAGTGAAAATAAGTCGATGTTACATGGATACCGAGTTTGTGCAATTGTTTGTCTTGTTATTTTGGCTTTGTGTAGTTGGCGATTTTTGGCTTAAAAATCGCCACTTCGCAAGTCAAAATAATGAGTCAAAGAATTGCACAAAATTGGTATCCATGTACCGCCAAAAATCGCCAAGTTTCGCCAAGGGGTACCCTAAACTATACTTTTACCGAAAGTCCGAAATCCGGATTTGTCGGGACTTCGGTGATTCCGGATTTGGGATTTTTCCTGATATTAAATCATCAGTTTAATCTAGTAAAGAAAGTAGTAATGTAGAAATTATAGAATTAAAAATATGAAATCATGATTTATGAAAAATGAAGTATTTATGATCTAAAGGGTATCAAAATTTACAAAAAAAGCTTAATATTTATTTGTTTACTTTATTAAACATTTCTTTCACTGCTTCATTGTTTGGGCTAATACTTTCTCTTTAATTATGTAGACAGACATAATCTCTTGTTTAGTTAACTAACTTGTCAATAATTGAAATTTACTCGTTTTCAGTAACCTCTCTGTCACATTCTTCACTATCGGTAGCCGTATTTTCTGGATCTAGAACCATCTTGGGGTGTTTCCCTTGAAATTGAGACAATGCTTTCACCTTTCCCACCTGTGTAGTTCAGTCAGAAAAAATATATTTCAGCGTACCCCTTGGTGCAAATTGGAGATTTTTTGGTGCCATTCCTGTTTACATGCAATGCCCTCAGTAAAATGGCGTCCAAAACATAATTAAAACAAAAATATACAAACTCAATAAACTGTACTTTAAATCAAGGAAATAACATAAGAATGGAAATACAGAAATTTCGGTGTGTGACAATTAATTCCTTAACAGCATCCGAAAACTGTCTAAAATTATCTGATTTAGAATCTGTGTATTGCTGTCGCAACATAAATTCAAAAAATAAGAATAACAAGTAATATAATTTTTTTTAAATTCCTACTTAGGTCAACAAAGAAAAATTTTAAAAATACAAAATAAATAAAATAAAATAAAATACATTAATTTTTTTTTTTTTTTTTCCAGAAACTTCAGATTAATCTTATCGCAGGCAGCTCTAGACAGTAGAGAATCATCCTGAAACTTTTCAAGAATCATCCTGATTCTTGAAAAGTTCCCTGTATGGGATCCCCTAGTTCAAAGAAACTCTTGAATTCTTAAACACTGATTATTCTTTAACCGGATAAATGATTCAAGTCCCGCATTGGGCTACAAATTTATAAGCATTGGACCATACATTTAAGCATGTTAACTTTCTATTGTGTTTTGTCAGTTGCTGTTTTTCCTAAAAATATTTTTAAAACTTTATCTTTTTGTTGCCATTTACCATTTCAAAAAATCTGTTTTACCATGACTATGCACTTGAAAGCCATAAGGTTACAATTGTCTTTCATTAAGCATATTTTAATAAACATTGCATAAATCATGCAAAGCCAGTAATTAATTATTTAATAATAATAATTATTATTATTACAGATTAAGGATAAAACTTCTCAGCGTTTTGAGCCACCAGTACCCCTGAGTATCAAAGGAAAGAAAACTGAGAATGGGACGACTTACAATGTAAAGTTAGATTCTGATGGGCTTTTATCCATTGAAAGAAAGAAAAATAGAGTTTTAGTGTTAGTATGGAAAAAAGTTCTTTTCCTCCTCTCTAGCAGGACTTAAGAGAGACCCTTCTCTCTAGAACGATAAGCAGGTGAAATTGATGTAAAAATACTTAATGAACATAAAAAACTTATAGGAGAGAAAGTAAGAAAACACAGTACTCAATAAAATCTGTGTCATTCAGTCAACAGTGTGTTTTCTTACATTCAGTTTTATTACTGTGCCATTGTTTTCTCAATCTGATAAAAGCTACATAATATTTTGAACAAAAAAAAGTTTGATGAATAAGATGTGCTTTATATTTTAGTAAACTAAATTTGTTCATCAAAATATTATTATTATTATTATCACATTAACCTTTTTTTTTTTTTTTTTTTTTTTTTTTTTTTTTAATACCTAGTGTAGTTATTTTTAGGTAATACTTAAGGCAAGTAGAATCTGTCCAAGCATCGCTGAGAGCCATGGTTCTCTTCACAAAACACCGATGCTGTGTGAAGCCAAACTTTACTATCACAATCATTCTTTATTACTCATTCAAAACTATTAGCTGAACTGCAAGTTGAGCTTTAATCATTTATTTTCATTTTTTCACACCCCCCAAAAAATATGTTCATAATTAAGTATTATTGTAGGAGAAGAATTAGTACAGTGTACAGTAATTTTTCTATGTGTATGTAATCAGCAACATGAATAACAATTAAATCTTTAAGTTACACACATGGTACAGTAAATTTAACGCACACATACCTGCTGGGAATTGCACAGCTAGTTTATCTAAAATTAGGCAGAACAGCCACTTTATTTTGGCATAGATTCTAAATATATAGATTTTAAAATAAAATTGCTGTTTTGCTGAATTTCAATTTTACTTAGCGGGTTTGTGTTCAAGCTTGATATTTATATACTTATTTATTGTAGAAGTTTATGCAGTGTACATTTCCATATGTTTGCATTGGATAGTGATGGGACTGAATATGTAGCCTTCATTTGGGGGGGGGTGGAATTAATCATAATTAACCAGCATATATTTTTTTATTCTTTGGTATTTTAGTCAGTTTTGCATTTTGACATCCTAGCAAAAAAAAAAAAAAAAAAAATTTGAAAAATCGCTTTGCTCCTCCGAGAAAAATTTATGTAAAGTTTAGGGGTTAGGGAAAATCACAAATTAGGATTTAAATAACAATTCTTTTTATTTTGGAACTCAGAAAATGTGTCTTTTCTGGTATAGTGTAAAATATATAAAACTAATCCTAGAAAGTAAACTTTGATGAAAGCAGTAAAAAAGACAGATTCAGAGTTTTGGTATGGTGATAATGATAAATCATATAATCACTTCCTTTATTTGATACTTCTTCAGTTTTGATTAAATGTTCCGAAAATTTTATTATTGAAATCATCATTACTACTGTGATATTTTATTTTTCAAATTCTTTACCATTCTTTACTCATTGGAAATCAGAATTCACATTTTTTTTCCACAAATAGCTCTTTGATGTTTTATCCACTTCATTAACTAAGTTGTAAAGAGTTTAAAAGCTAACCCTGCAATATTACAGTCAAAAGTCTTTAATCCGGACTCGTCGGGACTTCGGCGATTCCAGATTATCAGTTTTTCCGGATTATAGATCATCAGTTTAAATCTGGTAAGATGGCATGCAGAAATTATAAAATTAAAAATGTGAAACTGTAATTTATGAAATAAAGAACAATTATGATTTAAAAAGTATCAAAATTTATAAAAAAAAGCTTTATATTTATTTGTTTACTTTATTAAACATTTCTTTCAACACACGCATGCGTAAAGCATACATTACGCATAGTCGAAATTAGAAAAATGCAACCAGAAAACTATTTGATGTGTATTCTTGATATTTATAAAGAATTTGATTTAAATCTTATCAAAGACAGAGTACATCGAGAGGAAATACTGCATTTAGTAAGGAATTATAAGCCGAATAAAATAAAAAATCTGCCCTGAAGATAAGGATAGTGCTGACAGATCAACTTCCAGTTCATTGCGCGCCGCGTCATCTCCCCCCCTCCCACGCAGAGCAGCGTGAAATTGATAAATATATTTCGGAATGGTTAGAGAAACAAAGGATATGCCTTTATCCATTTTTTGCAGCAATTCCACTTTTTGTTTGATGGACATCGAAACATGCTTTCGCTTTTTAGATTATTATAATGGTTTTGTAGATCCTTTGGCAGTATCCAGCATTGGAAATTCTATTTGACATAACCGCAAGTTCAAGCTTAATTTTATAAAATTGCTCTAACAGTCTGCAAAAAATAATAAGCCAGATCCAATTCGAAGATTAAGGAACAACGCAATCTGCAACATTAACTGAAATAGGTAATTAGATAATTTTAGCTTAGCTTATACTGTCCGTACATATACGCATGCACAGAAAGTTTGTAACTTTGAGGTCCAGATTATAGATCATTCCGGATTAATGACTTTTGACTGTATTAGCTTAGTACCTTATTTAACCATGTAATTTTAAACCATAATGGCTCAAAATTTTTCTTTTTTTCTCAAGACAAGAAAATTTTCTACCCCTTTAGTAAGTTCTTAACATGTATGAATGTCATAATAATTCTGTTATCAACCTTTTTCTTGTAAGGTCACAAGTTTATATGATTGTAGTGCAGAGGTTTATATATTGTGAAGTGAAATGTCATTTGTTCAAAATTTTCTAAATTTCTCTAGGTACTTTCTTTTATGCTTGTTGTACTATGTCAAAGTGACAAAACTTTTATTATTTTCTCTCTGAAAATTTTTTTAATGTAATATCATACTAAATTTCTATACAATTTTAAAACTCAAAGGCCATTTCCAGATAATTTTGAGACAAAGATGATGGTGGCTCATTTGTGAATAGGCATGTTTACTTTGATCAATGATCCACAAAAGAATTTGTGAGCTCAGGGCTTCTTGACAAATGTAAATCATACTTATAAGCTACTCAGTGCAACCAGTAACTTCATTTCTTTTGTAAATGAGATGATAAATGATCTTGATAAAAGTGATTGAACTGCTTTTGAATTTTTTGCATGTTTCAATTTTCTTATGCAATGTAATCCATAGCATGCTATAAATGAAATATATAAATCGCACCATAGATTGATTTTGTGAATTTTTTTCTTAATCTACGAATTCTGTATTCTGTCTATGAGTTCTATATATTGTAATTATATTTATTCTTTTTAGATTTAAAACCCAGCTGTCCCAGTTAATCTTCAGCAATCAGTTTCTGCAATTATCGTCATATGTTTCTTCATCTTATTTATATGGATTAGGGGAACACAAAGAAGGAATATTAAAGTCATTTAATTGGACTCGTTTGACTATTTTCAATCAAGGAGATCTACCTGTGGTAAGGTTAAGATTTATATTTGCTGAAGCATATGCCTGAAAAATAAGTCTTTTAAAATATTTTGAAATAAGTCTATAAAATAAATTTAATGTAAGAATTTCACAGTTGGATGCCATGTGTGGGAAAAGTAATTTTTTAATTAAAATTAAGATGCTTGTAATTAGTTTGAGTGTATTAACCAGTTTTTTATTATTCTCAATATAATTAGCAGCAGGTTTAATGAAGTATAAATATAAAATTTGGTGTCTGTTATTCAGGTTAGTATGTGTGTTAATGACTCCTCCTAAATAAGCAGTCCAGATGAAGAGCAAAACAACTGGAACCTTTATTGCTGCTCCACTATTTGAATATGATAAAAATAACTAAAATAGTTTAAGTGAAAATAATAGTGCAGTTTTCCTTCAACAAGAACAATAACATTGATTTGGATCTAAAAAACGGTGATCATTAGGTAAAAACAAATTAACTTCAAAATCATGGTTATAGAATAGACTTCTTAAATCCTTCCAGAAGCAAATCTAAAATAATTTAGTAAGCTCAGTATCATCTCAAACTGCAAACACGTTTATTAAACACCTGACTAATTCATGGGCTTGACGTGTTGATATGTTTGGTTATACATGCCTGACAGCGCAGCTGTAGTGCAGGTTGTAGCATATTTAAGGGCGGAATTCCATGAAGACTGTGACAGTGAAGTCTCTATAAGTTGAGGAAGTAGAAATTAAATGCAGAATAAGATTAGATTAGGGAAGGAGGAAAAGAAGGACCCCCCTAAAAAAACATGATAAATATTTACAGTGTCTAATATCTGTTGGCTGAAAGATACTATCCCTTCTCTCTACATTGTCTTGTATTTCTTCATCCTTTTCTTTGCTTTTGTTAAATAGTAAAATATTTCTACTGCTGATCTGATTTTTTTAAATTATTATTATTTGAGGTATTATTCTGGGATTGCATTAGTCTCCTGCAGTTTTAAGTAACACCCAAGTAATATCTGAAAGTACACTGTATTAACCAGTATTACAAACTTGTATATGTAAATACTAATTAGACATTTAATTGATTAAATATCTTCAGCAAAAAAATTATTCATATTTGGTAAATTTAAGATATTCATTTTCCTTCACAGCCACACAGAAATCTGTATGGAAGTCATCCTTTTTATTTGCTTATGGAGCCTGAAGGGGATGCTAATGGCGTTTTTCTTCTAAACAGTAATGCTATAGGTAATGTCGTGTTATTTATGTAATATATTCCATTTTAGGAAATAAGTAAAGTTATTGATATTAGCATAATTTTCCAAGTTATATGAAATAAAATTTTTCTTGTAACTGTAGTTTTATGTTTGAGAAAAAAATATTCATTAATAAATTAGCATTTTGTCCCAAAAATGAAAATTAAAAAAATAAGTAGACATCTTTTTCATATTACTGTGTCTTTTAGGGATATCAGAGTTTATGGATTTTCATTTTTGGTCATTTTTAGATGTTGTGCTTCAGCCAGCACCAGCTGTAACATTTCGGGCCATTGGCGGGATTTTTGACTTTTTCATACTGCTTGGGCCAACACCATCAGAAGTCATAAGGCAATATACTGGTATTGTTGGACGGTCTTTTATGCCACCATACTGGAGCCTTGGTTTTCATATATGCAAATATGGATATTTTTCTTTGAACAAAACTCGAGAAACATTGGAACACAATTTGGATGAAGGGGTTCCAATAGTCAGTATTTGTATTTAATAAATTTCATATTGTATTTTTAATTAGGTAGAAAATGTAGTTTTATTTATAGTATTTAATGTTGATAAGGTGAGCAAGTTAAAAATATGGATACTGAAACACATTTGAAATGAATTGTTCTCGTTCATGCTAAGACAGGGTTGCCACGCTACCTGGAAAACCGGAAAAAGTCAGGGAATTCGAAAATTGACCGAAAAAGTCAGGGAATTTAAATATTTTAGTCAAAATTTGCAAAAGTCAGGGAATGTCATACGGCGATCCCCCCAAAAGCGAGTTTTGCACCAATGTTGGAAGCGATGGCTTTGTTGGCAAATTATGTATCGGATGAGCGTCATTCGGGCAGCTGGTGTAGACCCAATTTTCGCAGCTCCAATCAGATTGTCTTTTAGAAAAGTAAAGCAATTTTCCGGCAAGTTTGGTTTCCAGTAACCTCAAGAATCCTAAGACTCGCATGTGCAGGTTATGTTGAACAAAGAAAATACCTTCCCATTCTCGTATACAACAAAATCGGTTTAATCCTAATATGTGGTACCATGGAGGCTAGAATAGCCCCCCCCCCCCCCGTACTCTGTTCTAATATAAGAATGTCTATGTAAAGAAAGAAAGGTTCCATAGATGTAATGTAAATCAGTTTGCTAGAGTGCTGCTAGAAAGCAGAGAAAAAAACTCGCCAAGGGATTTGGCGACGGAACCTGACGGCGGGAATTTCTCCCTCCACGATGTGTACAGGAAATTGTGGAGCATGTGTTAAGAAGAAACGTTCTTTGACTTTCATGATAATTTACAAGAGCACTTTTGTACTTTTTTTTGCTCAAAATAGCTAATCTATTAATTAATTTACTTATGCAAAAAAATATTTTCTTTTCCTTTAAAATTTAAGAAAATTTAAAACGATATTCATTTTATGTACTCTTGATAAACTTCACCTTTGAACTTCGCGAGCTTCGGCGACAGATATTTTGCGCATACGCAGCTGTTTCCCTCTACGTTGGGATGGAGCCATTCCTGTTTTTTTTTTTTGTTTTGTTTTGTTTTTAATCAAGCTTAGAAGTTTTTTTATCTTAATAACATTTTTTTTTTTTTTTTTTTTTTTTTTTTAATTCTAACCTCCATGTACGGTATACATGGGATTTGGTGACATTATGATGAGCAGTAACAACAGTTACCTCTTTCTGTCTCTTAGTCTCTGTTAGACTCAAGGTGTTGGGTAAGTACCAACCAGTCATTTTGGTGTTAGCAGCAGTTTTCAAAATTGTACAAAGGCTGTAGCGAAGACTAGGATTTTACTCGCAAAATCTTTTAAACTTTTTTTTTTTCATTTTTAATAAATGCCTTATTTTTTATTTTGTAGTATATATATATTAAAAAAAAGTCAGTCATCTAGGCTAATGTTTAATATTTGCCAAAATAGCATTGATTATTGTAATTCAATTTTTAAGTAATTAACTTCATTTTAATGTTATTTATATCATTTAATGTTCTGCTTTGCTCTAAATTTATTTATTATTAATTAATAATGCTTTCAAATTTCAGGCAAATTTCTCTGGCATAATTCTGAAGCTAAATCTAGCAGTATGATGACATACTATCATGAAATTTAATGCACATATTTTTGTTTATGTATGCTGCTAATTAAATATAAAATACCGCTACTTTTCCGTTTTGATGGCGCAAACAATAAAGTTGCCAATAATGGTACAATCTTCACTGGTAACCTTTTACGCTTCATTTTCAAAACAAGTCGCAGCCATTTCTTATCAGATTGATTGTTTCTTTCAATACTGGCATACAATTACATAGAATTTTTACAAGATAGTTAAATTTTATGCCCTAAGACCATTTGCGGTAATTAAGTCAATTAGGATGCAATCGCACCTCTCACCGGAAGGTCTAAATATAGAAAAGGCAAAGTCAAGGGTTAAAATCATCAATTCTAATGAGAATACACTAGCAAAGTAAAGCACTGCGGTTTTACATAATTTCTGAGTAAGCTATTCGTACGAGTTGAAATAATTCTTGCATTTAAACTTATATTCCAAATTAAGATTTAACTTGAAATTAATGTAGATAATTACTGAGAGAATTATACTTTTGTAGCGTAGTTTATGCGAGATGAGATCACTTGGGGTCACGAGATATGAACCATCAAATCAGGCTGTTGAACCATGAAAGCGTAGTAAATTCTTAAATTAATGTCTTTTTACAAATTGTCTTTATTTATTGGCTTTTACAAAATTTTAAACCATATTAAAATGTTTACGCCTTCAAAATAAAAATTCTTAGAACTAACATTTGGTAAAATATTTTATGTGTATACTGCATGCTGTCACCAATAATGTCTGCTCGGCGAGATTTGCGTCGGCGAAACGGAAAAGTACCAAAATACCTGAATTTATTTTAAAACATCGTTAAATAGATTTCTTTCTTTCGTTTAGCTGCAAAATATCTGCAAAAAAAAACTCATTTTTTAATCCAGATTGGGCAAATTCTAATCTCAATCTTCAGTGGAGAAAACAACTCCTATTATAGCTATAATAGTAATGCTTTCAGAATTCTATATATAATAAGTCATATGCAGTTGGCAAATTTTTGTGTTTTAAAGTGGTACCATAATTAATTTATCTTAAAGTGGTACCATAATCTCAGCGCAGCCGATGCACTGAGAGGCAATTAATTATTTGGCTCATATATGGTGTTATTAATGTATCAGATGAATTGACTGAAGTTCATTAAATTATGTTACAGCATACTAAAGCTATCTGCCCAATGTGCAGAATACTTTTAAGTAAGATTTAAGAGAAAATAACATTTATTCATGTATTTGGAGAAAACAATAGAAACATCCATCCTACTACTCCATTTGCCCGAATTTCAAGCTGCTTTAAACTACCAGTGTTGAGCAGTTTTAGAGTTTTTTTAGAGTTGCTAATGGGGAATCTTATTCAAGGATCATGGAGATTTCCTTAATTTTATCTATGAGTATTAAAATGCTTCCATTTTAGTTCCTTTTCATTTGTGGGAACAATAAAATATTCAATATTCAAAGGGAGATCAGATGAATAGGAAAAAAAAGGATAACCATGTTGTTTTTTGACAATGAAAATGGTATGGGCTAAGCCATTGTCATAGTGCTGAAACCATTCACCACTCTCTCTCAGAGCACGTATTTTTATTTGGTTATAACTCCAAAGCACATCAGTGGATCCAGAAATCTCATCATAGCCTACTATTGACTTTTATAAATTGCACCACTCTAAACTTTTTCAAGATTTTCTTTGTTCTTAACTGAGAAAGGCTGACCAGATTTTAAGTGGTCTTTAAACGTTATTTCTTTTCATTCGATATACTAAAACTACTTGTAAGACTTCTGTTTTATTTTAAACCAACATCTTTAAAAGCAGTGGGGAGTGGAGTATCACTGTAATTTCAAAATCCATTTTTTCTAAGAAACGACAAAATTTAGTTCAGACTAGCTGTTCTGTGACATCATGCATTACATTTAACAAGCTCCAAGAAAAACTGACATTAAATTATATACACATAATTACATTTAGCAAGCTCCAAGAAAAAATAAAATTAAATTCTATACACATAATTACATTTAACAAGCTCCAAGAAAAACTGACATTAAATTCTATGCACATAATATGGAGCAGTGCCACTTTGCAGAATGCTGTAAGCATGCTGTACCTAGTGGTGAAATTCGCAGTTGCTTCTGCACTGCATGCCCGATATAGATACTAGTACAGAATAAAAGAGTGTTGCCCAGACAAGATAAGCAGCCCTGTAAGGAGGGCAGAGTTAATTGCCAAAAGGAATATCCAAGCAAAGGTTTCTACGTCATTAGTGAATGTCAGAAGCTGTGTGTGGTTTGCAGTTGCATTCTGTGTATTATTTGTTTTGACCATAGCAGCAAATGAATAGGAGTTCTGACATGCCAGAGAGACTTATTAGGCTGCTCAATGACAAGGAACAATTGATGTATAGCTTTTTTAAAGAAGAGGCATAGAATGTGGCTTTTCTAGGATGTCAGTATTTGCATTTAACATGCATGTATAGTTTTGGTAATGAAGACGCTAAATCTTTTTTAAGACCTAGTAAGCTGTCAGTATTGTATGTAAAGAGCCAGTTTCCTGCAAGATAATGCTCATTTGCACATAGCAGATATGTGTAAATTTTGTAGCACATAGCAGATATCTGTAAGTTTCCGTAGTATCATATCCCCTAGATTTTTTTATTTTTAATGCATATGAACACAATCTGTTCACATTATAGCAACACTTTAGAGACATGTAAAAAGAGTGCTGTATCAGCGTAATGTAAAAGAAATATTAATATTTAACACAACTGTATAAAACTGTTAAAAACCTGTAATAAACTTAAAAGTTTAAAATCTGTAATGGTATGCATACAAAGGGAAAAGAAATAGAACGTACGTAAAGATAAGGTAGAATATTACATACATTAAAAAAAAAAAAAAAATTACTGCCGATTTCTCAGAAGAGTGTTGACTTATCGAGAACAAAATTCTCCCTTGTATGTTTGAATGAATTCTTTTAATCATGAAAAACTAATAAATAAAATTTGTATGTAAATGAATAATTAATAATTTTCAAACATGAAGGTAATTCTCCTAGGAGGTTGAAAAAGAACATATTTACAAAAAGATTGTTTTAAAAAGTAATCAGCAATTTAGAAGTATCAGTGCATATAAAACTATGCATATAATATTTTAAAAAAATAAAACTTTAAAAGTGCACAGTATATTTTAATACTGATGAAAAATAAAATAGAAATTTTCTTTGTTTAGGATGTTCAATGGCATGATATTGATTATATGAAAAGGTATTTAGACTTCACATATGATCCAAAGAATTTTTCAGGCCTGCCTGAATTTGTGGATAAGCTTCATGAAGATGGAAGACATTATGTAGCTATGATTGTAAGGTTGATTTTTTTTTTTTTTTTTATAAAGGTGTTTTTTTTTTTTTTTTCCATTTCATATTACTGAATGTAGTTATTAAATGAGTGAATGAGGGCACAATCAAAGAAACTAAAAAATCATGTGGTGACATGTACACCACATGACTTCCTTTCACGGAATATTAAATTATACGCATTTTTTCTTGCATTTCATTTAAACTTATTAGATTGAATTAAGTATACTTCATCGATAGTGCATAAACCACAACAAAATAAATGCACTCTTCAAAATTTACTATATTTGTTTACCATAGCAACACTCTGGCACTTAACAGCGTTAAGGTTCACTTAACAGCGTTACGTTTCATTCATATTATAACTCAGAATGCACATAAATTTATATCATTTGAAGAATTATCTAATCATTGCCACATGTTCTATTCAAATACTATAATAAATCTAAAACAATGATAAAAGAAATTAAGCAAACAAAACAAAAAAGAAACAGTTTTTCACAGATGATTCAGTATTTCTCATTCGATTAATTCAGTTCTCACTTCCCAACAAGGCAAAAATACATAAAAACTCAAAATATCTGTATTAAAAATTACGAAGTAAATCTTAAACACTTATTTCCTTGAATAAATTCCAGAATGGATTAAACATGATTTAATTCGCAATAATAAAAGAATGCATTATCTTTGTTGTTGCGAAGCTTAGCTTCTAGATTGGCAACAAGTCCACTATTTTGTTAAGTTTGAAATGTAAACAAACATGTCCGCCATCACAAAATTAATTAGGCGTAGCTGCACTTAAACAATTTTTAAATTGTTGATAACTCCACAAATATTGCATTCAGATTTACTAAAGGCATAAAAACCTTAACCAGAAGATAAAAACAACATAATTCAGTCATTTTTAAAGCAAAAAATGCACAGCTTACAAACATATAAGAGTAAAGAAACTGAAATCACTGAGCCGGGTAACAGAGTGGATATATGTATGCATATATTTATATACGTTTGGTGCGGCCGATTGCAACCAAAATATGAGGTGCACATCTACATGTTAAAGCAGTCCTATATACAAAATTTGAACGTTCTGAGGATACTCGTTTTTGAATTATGCGAGATACGTGCGTACGTACTGACGCCATGAAAAATTCTTTTCAGAATTTATTTTAAATCAATTTTATAAATTTTTGAGTGGAAAAGAGTTTTTTATTCTGTCCTTACATACAGATGTCATGCAAAAACATGATTAAATTGCATCGATAACAGTCAAAATGGATATTTTCATTGAAATATGTTGCCTGAAAATTTTTGCAATTACAATACTTCCTTTTTACTTCATGCAAGGAAGTAAAAATCAAATTTTTCTAATAAGCATACATTGAATAAATATAAAAAATAAGTTTATGTTGGCAGTTTTAATGATTTTATGATTTTCCAACCATTCATCATCTCAATTTTCCAATCAAGGAAAACTTTTAACTAAACATGAGAAGGATAAACAATAAAATTTAAAAATTTTTCTTATTAGGAATATATGGAAGGATGCAGACTAATTTTCAAATGAAAACATTAAGGATCAAATAAAGACAAATTATAAGTTTCTAATAAAAAGTATATAAAAATGGAGGAATGATAAAAGTTAAAGAATTCATATAAAATGCATTAAAAATCGAATAAGGAAAATGATAAATTTCTAATAAAAACACAAAAAAAGGGCAGCCCCAAAATGTAATGCCCTTAATTAAAAAATAAGAATAAGAAAATTAAATTTTTGAACAAATATTAGCTAAATACTTTAAAACCTTTTTCTTGAAAATAACATTTACAACTTCTTCAGACAACTCTGTTTTCAATATAATGTCACAATCTTTTATTTTATCAGTATGTTTAATTGTGAAAGATTCTGAAGTTGTTTGATATTTAAAAACCTCATTCCAATTTATAACATTGTTCAAGTGTTCTATAGTACTTTTGGATAACTTTTTATATCTAAGAACTAATGTAATACTTCATTTTCTCAAGCTCTATGTAATGAAATAGGATGTAAAATTTGAAAGTTTTTCCCAATCCAGTTTAGAAGCATTTTCAAACATAAGTTTTTTAGATAATATCTGGTATCTACATATGACATCCAAATTAATTGTTCCTTCTTGATGAGAAATTTTTCTGAGTCTTTGATATGCATAAATATTATGCCAGGATACTTTGTTTTTATATGAGATAAAAGATTATTATAGTATCTGATCTTTTGAAATAATTGATTCATAGCATTTTCAAAATTTTTAATCAAACTTTCAAATAATTTATCTTTTCTCGAAACTTTGATCCAATTGATATCCATTTATAGGTTATAATTTTTAAGAAAGAGCTTTTTCACTTTGTAATCGTAATATTTATCATCAATTTTTCCTCTGATAACAAAAATATAATTTTCATTGGCTTCATCAGAGAGATCACCACTTTTTAAGAAAACTTTTAAAGAAAATATCATCTTTGTTCATAATCTACTACCAAGTTAGCTATTGCTAAATCTCCATATTTTGACTGAATGTGTTTCAAAGATCTCTGTTTATATTTTCTTGGATTTAAATCTTTCAGTTTAAGAGTTTCATTTTAAGATCCTAAGCTGCCGAATTCTTCCATTATTTATATAAAATTTAATATATTTCATGGATTTTTATAATGACCTCATGCTCATGAGATATCTGTCTTCTGAAATATAATTTTTATAATCTATTCGTGATAATGATTTTTTATTCACTTTAATTGAATATAAGTCACGTTTTGTACTTCTAATTAAATTTATGTTTCTATGATGCTCATTTTTATCTTTCTTTATCATCTTATGAAATTCTGGTTTTAATGCATTTTTTTTTAACCAACTTCTTTATTATATCCTTTTCAGTTTTGGGGGCATACATTTTCGTTTTTAATCCAACAAATTCTTCCTTTATTTTCATCTTTTATTTTTCTTATTTACTTGTAGAATATTATATTTATCATTTTTTGGATAATCAGATGTATCCAAATGATCAAACACGTATTCATAAAAATCATTAATTTTAATAGACTATATGAAACTATTTGTATTCATATACAGTAGCATACTTTCATTTTAATATTATGAAACCTAAATATTTGGATAATTGAATATATGTTTTTTATAATATTATAACGAAGTCATATATTAAATGTTTTGGTAAATCTAATCCAATGAGTATCATTCCAACATAGATTTGTTTATTAAAGATGACTTTAACTTTGCTCATATGAATAGAAATTAAATTTTCATCAAATATAGTTCTCTGTTTTAAGTCTCATTTAACAATTAATTTTTTAACTTTTTCATAATAACAGTATAATCTCTCCTTCTCTTTCTAATGTTTTCTGTTATTTTTCTAAACACTGAATTATTCCTCAGTTTTCCAAAATTATCAGCATCTTTAGTTCTAATTTCTGTATTCAATCTAATGTAATACTTCATTTTCTCATTCAAATCTATATATTTCTTTAACCAAGGAGATTGTTTAAATGCTAATACTCTATGAACCTTTTCCAGTTTTAGACCCATTTTCAATTATTGTTTTAAATTTCTATAGTGAAGAACATACTGTTCTTGATCTTATAATGATAGTAATTTAGCTTGTCTAGAACCATTTGGAATTCAGCAGCTAAAGGAATATCTGAATGCTTATCATGTAGTTCTTTTAGAGACTTTAAATCAACTTTGAATATATACCCAATGTATAAAATCATCAGATTTATTAATTCAGTCATCATTGTTACTCCATTTCAATCCATCATACGCTAGATATTGGCTCATAGTCCATCCATATAAATTATTTGAATCTAGATAAATTAAATAACTGGATTGTTCACTTTTAAAATACATAATAAATAAATGAAAATTTACATAAATTTTCATATATTTATTATTTGCTTTACCATATCTAATACAACATTGAGGTATACCTCAGCTAGTTCTTTCCTCTTACATTAAAACCGTGTTATAATCATTCAATAATTTTAATTCAATTTTTGTCAATAATTTTTCTCAAGCTAATCTTGGTGCTGTAAAATATCATGCAGGATTTGAATCATGTTTTTTTAAACTTACATCCCAAAAATATCTGCTAATATTAATACATCTGATTTTGCACATAAATTTGTATATTCATGCAAATTTTTAATATCAGACTCATTCCATATTTTTTTGGTTCACATGTATTCTTCGTCAAAACATTTCCTTTCATTTAATGTTCTGTCAAATTTATCTTGAGCTGGTAATTTTGTTTCTTTATATCTTCCTTCAGAATCCGTATGGTCATAATGATAAATACCTTTTTATGTAATAAGATCTAATATTTGATCATAATAATTTTTTTTAACTTTCTATAAGCATTTCCAGTTTAGCTGAAAGATTTTGTGATAAATTTTTCAGTTTTATTTTTTGTTTTGTCATCAGTAAATTATTCGATTTCTCAAACATCATATGCTAGCTTTGGTGCAGATTTATGAACTGCATCAGTTCCTCTGTAAATAATGGGTGGTTTATTAAACTCGTGTTTATATGTAATATAATAATTAAAACTGTAAGCTTCATGTTTTTGGTAGTTCCTTATATAGGATGTTGTTGGATTTATTTGATAAATACCTATCTAGTATTTCAAAGGATAGATTCAAAAAGGGATTCAAAATTGATATAAATGTCAAATGGTATTTTCATTGATCTGTATAATTTTCAAATTTTATGAAGTGTCTTTCTCATGTGTTTCTTCTTTTACAAAATTATTGTGTGCACAAACAATTTCATGTGTTTTAACTTTTGAATAAAAATATCTTAGCATCTATCACATAGAAATATTTGTTTGAAGTTATATGAGTTCTTATTAATCTAGTTATATTCTTAATCCAACAATAATGAGCATTTGGATCATCTTTTATGTGAAACGAGTTTGCATGTTTTTGTAATTTATTATCAGTTATTTTTAATGGATATAGGGATTTTTTATAACCATATATACAGTTATAGACATACTGTTTGACTTCTCAAATTTTTCAATACTATCTAGAGATACAAAAAATTCAGTTCCTTTAAAGTTTAAGTCATTTTCTAGTTTCACAGTTTGATAGTCTTTCAATTGGATAATGAGCTGATAAGACCACAAAAATATTTATTATTGTTATCTTTTACATTTATAATACTTGTTTTCTCTTAATTATTCTGGTCAATCAGTATGTGATGATTCAGAAAGAGGATCATATTTGTATATTCTCAATTCTATGTACTTAATTTCTGTTCATCCTGATTCTTTTGCTATAAATAGTCATTGGATTCATTAGTCAGTTTATCAATGGCATAATCGTAAAGGCGTCAACATTACTTTATTAAGTACTTTAAATGAATGCTGTTTAAATTCATCTTCATCTCTATACGTACAAAATGCTCATAAATTTACTTTACTTTTCATTTTTAACAATATTTGAAATTTTTTCATTTGCAATCTTTGATTTAAATACTTAGTAATAATTGTATAGTATGATATCTTTGACTTAGTCCTAGGAATCTCTAATCTTGACTTTATCTTAGGAATAATAATAGAATTATAATGGTGTTATTACAGTAGTTCACATTTGTTTTCATATACTTGTGTTTTTCAATTTTATTTTCAAATGTTAGTTACTAAGTATTAGCAAAATTATTTTATTTTTATTCCACATATACTGTTAATAATCTATTTTAAAATCTGCTTGTTTTGAAAAAAGTTATTCAAAGTGGTTTTATTAAAATAAATCATTTATTCCCAAAGTTCTGAAAATGAACACATTCAAGTAGTATTCAAACACATTCAATAAACAGTTTATATTTAATAGAAGCATGGAGATAATGGGACATTCTATATTTGGTTGGATTTTCTGTAGGTAAAATTACAGTTTTATGCACTTTAGTATTGATTTAACTAATTTTTTCATGTAAGAATGTTCCATTTGCTGTATTCCTGTGTAAGAAAGCCTCCAACCTATTTCATACATGTTTCAAAGGATTTAAGGCCAAAATATATGAGAAATTTTGATAATTTCAAGACAGTTGTATAATAACACAAATGAGCATTTATGCCTGTATGTTTAGAATTGTTATTCTGATAAAATTTGAAAGTATTTTGCATTTCAAGTTTTCTAACAGAGAATTTTTCAGGTTTTCGTTGGGAATGTTTGTATATTTATGACAATTCATGTTATTTTAAATAACCTCTAAATTTGTTATTCAAAAGGCAGTAAAACATCGCTGAACCTTTATGCCTTTATTCCCATGCATAACATTAGGACACAGGTTTTTCCAATTTCAATTCTTAATTCGGATTTTGCCACTTAGTTATTCATCTACTGGATCCAAATACATTAAATTTTGAGTTGTCTACAAATATAACATTGTTCCAATATGATCAAATTTATTTTATTATGGATTTCGTGAATGCCAGGCATATTTTCCTTGTTTTCTTGTTGACAAAGAATTTCCTTCTTGCTGATTGCCCACCATATCTATGTGTCCTAAATGACTCTTCTAAAAGCTAAAAGTGTAAGAATATTCCATTTGCTACATTCTAGGTTAACTTTAATTGCAAATTGTTCTTTTAAATCCACTGAACGTTTTATAGTAGTCAGTTTTAAGTGTTTGATTTTTCATGGAATAAGTCTGCGATTCCTTGGTGTTCAGTTTGGAATGCATGCATTTTCAACAGTTCAATGCAATTTCTTGTTTTATTACATCAAAAATAGTTAAAAACTTTATATCAAAGATTTTTTAGATATTTGGAATACTTCTACCATTTAAAAAAATAAATTATTAAATTTCTAACACGACTCTTCATTAATTCATAGCATCTTAACCATATTCACTTCAGATGTAAAGCTATTAATATATATTACCAAACAAGTAAAAATTTCCAAATGCAAACGATTATTCTTGGGAAGTTTAGAGTTTCCAAATTATTATGCGAGTCACTGGTTAACACTTTTTGAACAATTTATTTTATTACAAGGAATATTTCAATGGATAAATCCAGAAGTCAAAACAACTTTTAGAAATGATGCATTCTCAGCTTCAAAAACGTTTTGAATTATACACCCTCCATTAATTCTCGTAACATAAGCAGATTTTTTTCTATTGATATGGAAAAGAAATAAAATATTTGTGAATGGTGAGTTAGATATAATTCAGACATTGCATGCAATATATTATTGCTGTTTTAAATGATGCTATTTTAAAACTGTAATTTTTGTTAAAAATATGTTACTTTCAAATAATTTTTTAAAAAATTGGTTAGTTTCCTGGCATAAAAGTTTTTTGATAATAAACTGTACTTGCTGCTCTTAAGTCATGAAATATATAACTAAGATTAAAAAAAACTAACAAAATGCTCCTTATATATTGTTTTAATTTAAAATAATATGATATATAGTTTTATAAAGGCGTAGATATATAAATAGGTTAATGAAATAGTAGATTTTTTGTCTAATAATCAATTCTTAATCAATTATATTTGGCATTTCTTTAAAGTCTAACCTGATTTTTTTTAAAGTGGGTGATTATAATGTCAATAGATTTAAAATTTAAATAGGAAGATTACCTTTTATTATAACTTTCAATCAAATGCACAGAAAATTAACATTGGGGAGGGGGACTAACAACAAACTAAATTGGAGAGGGCCATGTACTATTTACTTATGTAGGATTCCCACCCACATATTAAATGCTGAAATGTTAAGGAAACAGTAGTTGTTTGAGAAAGTGAATTAAAATATCAACATTTTCTGAAAAAAAGTTAGGAAAATTTTTAAAAAGTATGCACATCAATTTTTTGGTAATAGTAATGAATCCATATTCTGGATAACAATATTCAATAAAAATATTCCCTCTTAGAAAAATGTAAAAATAAATAAAATCTTTGTTTATTTTCACAAAGTATTTTACTCCCCTCCATATCTGATGCAATTTAATCATTCATATCTTTCTTTCTCCTATCACTGAGCTGTTGCTCATTTTTCTCTTTAGATATGTAATTGTTGAATTACTTCTATCTTTCAAAGTAATATTGCCCTTAAATAATGGATAGTATAATTTAGAAATTGTCACTCTGTTGTTATATGCTATATTGACTAACAGTATTAATTAAAACATTGTTTTTAATCCATGTAATTCTCATTGTCTTCAGTTTTGTTTTGAAACATTATAAGAGTAATATTTGTTGTGAATGATACATTGTTTATAAATTTTTTTTGTAATATGAGCATTTCATCCAGAATTATATCTTTATTTAAAAAAAAAAAACTTTACATTCTTTTTTGAGTGGTTTAGATCCATTTTTTTCTTTCGTAAATTTCTTCTATTTGCTTCATAATAATGTGCTAAAATCTTATTACATTCTTAGTTATGTCTTTGTGTTTTGTAGTTAATGTATAGCATTTTTAGTTACTCATATTTAATTGATAATTAATTTATATTTTGTAAAGAAAATTGTTCCATTTCTTAATTGAAATAAAGGGAAATTAAAAGGCTGAATTTCAGTGGGAACCCTCTCATGGATCATGCTCATTTTGTAGTGGGCAGAGTCCACAGATCAATTTATATTCTTAAATTTGATTATTTTATATTTTTGCAACCATTTTATATTCTTAAATTTGATTATTGTATATCTTTGTTAAATTATTATTGTCTTTTCATGATTGATATTATATCTGCAATAAAGATATCAGATCAGCACTTTTGGTCACTAACAAGAAATATTTTTTTGTTATACACTTATATGCATTTATTGGGTATTTGTTTTGAAACAAAATAACTGTTTCTTTCACATTTCTTTCCAGTCACCTGGTGTATCTAACTCAGAACCACCGGATACTTACTCTGCTTATGATCAGGGTGCTAAGTTAGACCTTTTTGTGAAAGATATTAATGGCAAATATATTGAAGCTAAGGTATTTATTGTATAATATGTGTTATGGACATTTCACATTCTTTTATATTTTGAATACTTCTTAGAGTCATTTCTTGATTAACAAGAGGCAGATTAGCTTGTTAGTTTACAAAAAACAAACAAAAAAAGTTTATAATTATGTTGTAGTAGCAATGCTGTTTGGCGTAGAACATAGATCCATGATGAAGAGGAGGAATTCTGATTATGTAGAATGTTAGAATCCGTAATGAGTAGGAACCTTGCCAGTTGAGGAGGTTTTAATTCCATTTTTATTTAAATTCACATTTACACTTACAGTTCACTTACAGTTACACTTACAGTTACAGTTACAGTTCACTTGGTACTGTAATCATGCCTATTTCTGGAACATTTACGTTTTTGAATACTGTTGCGATAGGAACAGAGCACAGCAAAACAATGTCCAAGCAGCAACAGAGATACAAGCGAAGTAAGCAATTATCTATTATGGCAGCTCACCAAAGAGGAAAGTTTTGGTTTTACTTAACAAAGGTTTCATTTCTCAGAGTTTAGGTCCTGAGATAACTACGTCATCAGTACTAATTCAAAAGTCAAACAACAAAAATCAGCATAATCATCAAATAACGCTGATTTTTGTTGTTTGACTTCTGAATTAGTATTTATTCGGCGTGTTATTGTGTCTTAATTACGTCATCAGTGTTATGGAAGCTTTCTGGCATAGGTTAATCTAGAAATGGCACAGTTCAAAATTGTTGTTATTATTTTTAGAATAAAGGGGAAATAACCAAATTAAAAAGGAGCGATTAAAAGGCTATTACTAAATTAAATTATAAAGCTGATTTACATATTTTTTATCTTACATGTATAGTAGTGGTATTAGATGATATCATTGTATTTGGAAGCCGGTTTTATGTGCAACAGTACATAATTTGTTAAATTTTTAATTTTCCATTGAAATTAAATTGCTCTGTCATAAAAATAAATCAAGTGTACATGCATTAATCTTCTGTGATGTCGTTTGTAATGATTGTCTATATTTGCATAATATGATTCTTTGCTTGGAAAAATATTATCGCGTGCGTACGGGTTCGTTACGAAATGAATGCACAAGTCTGATGAAAAATGAACAAAAATTTATTATTATCACAACAAATATGCTTAAATTTCCTAAAATATTCGTGCAGTATTACAATATCTCCCAGTAGTTATCTTTTAACGACTCAAACGTTCAAGAGAACGTAACTCAAAACAGCTAGAGAAAGCTAATTCGCGAATTCGCTACAAGAGTAGTTTTCTAAACAAACTCTGAAAACAACAGCAAACTAAATAACTACAATGAACTGAGAGGTTTTCCTCCTTTTATTAGATTTTAAAATCGTGTACGAGAATTTTCTAGTACTTTCTCAAAATAAAAAAGAGATATTTATTAAATGTTACAATGCACGCACTCTTGTATTTTCAATTTTCCGGCTTAGCTTTCTTTTAATATTCGTCACGCGCTGCACTGCACGGGGAATAAAACAATTTAATTTATAATTCAACCAACATTAGCTATTTAAATACCAAATCCGTAACCCTGCCCCCTTCCCAAGGACTGTACGTCCCGGGCAGTACAATCCCTGGACAGGAAGCCAAACTTACAACTAAAGGCATAAATGCAATAATAAGCATTACATTACAATAATAAAAAAAAAAAAACATGAACAATAAATGCAATCAATTACTAAATACAAATCAAATGCTACCAAATACTAAATACAAATCAAATCAAATACATATTTAGAAACAAAAAGGACCATGGTCTTACACTATTTACAATTATTTACATTACGTACTATGGCCATAGTAATGAGCTAACCTGTCGTAGTGAAAGACTTTAGGTTTAGAGTTCGAAGACTTACGGATCTGAACCACGACATCATGGTAGCTTGTGTCGTAACGGGTCTTCATCTTCTCCATCGCCAAGTTGACTCGCTCTCGTGCAAAGTTGTGCATCACTTCAAACCGGGCCTGGAGATCTTGAATATATTTCTCAGGCGATGAAGGAGCATCCGGAGGGCGACCAAACAAGAGATCACAAGGCAGACAAAGGTCACGACCGAAGAGCATCCGTGATGGGGAATAGCCGGTAGTCTCGTGGACAGCACTGTGGTAAAAACAGTGGTAATTTCTTGTCCCAATTCTGTTGGTTTCTGGAAACCACTAATGAGAGGTTATTAAGAATGGTTCGATTGAACCTCTCTACCATGCCGTTCGACTGGGGATGTAATGGCATCGTTTGGGTTTTGTCAATGCCGAGTAGTTTGCAGAGTTCTATGATTACTGCCAACGTAAAATTCCTTCCCTGATCGGAATGTAACTGAAGAGGCACTCCGAGCCTGGAAATCCAGTGCTGTATCATCACCTCAACTACTGTAACAGCCTCTTGATCAGGAATAGGATACGCTTCAGGCCACTTGGTGAAGTAATCAATGACAACGAGTATGTATTTGTTGCCATCAGCAGTTTGTGGCAGAGGTCCCAAGGTGTCAAAGGTTCAAACGGCACACCTATGTTGTAACATTGCAGCTTGCCTCAGCTGCGTTTCCTCGTTCCTTTCCGACCTGCACAGGCATTGCATGATCGGCACCACTTTTGCACGTCATCCTGTGCATTATTCCAGTAAAAGCGCTCACGAACTCTCTGCAAGGTCTTCATTATTCCAAAGTGGCCTCCTGTAGAGCTGCTATGTAGTCCTTTAAGGACATCAGGAATGCGGGATCTTGGAAGTATCAGTTGCCATCGAAACGTCTTCCCATCATCCAATTCGAATTTCCGGTATAAGACGCTGTTTTGAATGTGAAGTGAATCCCAGAGTGTCCAGTATTGTTTTGTTGTAAGACTACAGATAGAAATGTTCTGCCAGGTAGGTTTTCTGTTTGATGACTCCACTAAATCAATTATGGGTATAATGTCGTGGTCTTCCAGCTGGTCTTTCCTGACTTCATCATGACTCCACGGGTCTCTATCAGCCGATGTTGATGTTATAATTTGTCTTGCGACCGAAGTCAGCAGCTCATATTTCGCTTTCACCCTGGAACAATATCGGCAGCATTCTGGACAAGGTCTTCTAGACAGTGTATCGTCGTTCCCGTGTGATGATCCCTTTACGATGACAGATAGTGATGTCATATTCTTGGAGTCTCGGTATCCACCTTGGCTATTTGACCCTCAGGATTCTTGAGCCTGGTCCGTGCGGAGGAGAAAATTTCTGCCGTATAGATAGTGATGGAAATGCTCTACGGCTTTAACTATGGCGAGCAACTCTTTCCTAGTGACACAGTAATTCCTCTCCGGTTTAGACAGGCATTTGCTCCAGTAAGCTACTACACGTTCTTGGCCGTCTATTTCTTGGGACAAAACAGCACCAACAATTTCATTGCTCGCTTTCGTGTCGAGAATAAATGGTCTGTCGAGCTGAGGATACGTCAGGATGGGAACAGATGTTAAAGTTTCCTTTAAGTTGTTAAATGCATCCTCGCATTCTTTTGTCCACAAGAACCTTTGCTTGCTCTCTGTCAGCTTGTGAAGGGGTCTTGCGATGGAAGAAAAGTCCTTCACGAATCTCCTATAGTAGGTGCCCTAGGAAGCTTCTCAGCTGATGGACATTTTCGGGACGTTTCCATGATTTAACGGCTGACACCTTTTCAGGATCCGTGCACACACCTTCTGCAGAGATGTCATGTCCCAAGTAAGTCACTTCCTTTCGGAACAATTTGCATTTAGCTGGACTCAGCTTAAGATTAGCTTCTTTCAGTTTCTGAAGCACCTTTCTAAGATTTTCTAGATGTTCTTCACAACTCTTTCCGACGATGATGGTGTTGTCCAGGTATATCAGACAGGCTTCGTAGGAAAGACCTTTCAAAACAGTCTCCATGAGGCGTTCAAATGTTGCCGGCGCATTACACAGTGCAAACGGCATCACCTTGAATTGCCAAAGCTCTTGTCCCGTAGTAAATGCCGTCTTTTCTCGGTCATCAGGATGTATTTCTACCTGCCAATACCCACTCTTTAAATCAAGTGTTGAGAACCACTTGCTTCCAGAAAAAGTATCTAGAATGTCATCAGTTCTAGGAAGAGGGTAACTGTCTTTCTTCGTAACCTCATTCAACCGGCGATAGTCGACACAAAATCTTGTTGAGCCATCTTTCTTTCTGACGAGAACGATGGGAGATACCCATGGACTCTCTGAAGGCTCGATGACATCGCCTTCTTCCATATCTTTTAACAGTGTTCGCACCTCTTCCTGTTTAGCAAACGGTAGATGTCTTGTATGTTGCTTGATCAGGGGATGATCGCCGGTATCTATTCTATGTTGTGTCAAACTAGTTCAACCCACGTCAAAAGACGAACGGGAGAAAACAACTTGAAGATCTTTAATGACGCGATTGGCAGCATTTCTCTCTTTATTGTTTAATTATGCATTCTGCAATAGCTTCGATGTAATGCTCTCTGATGACACGGATTCTGGGATGTTACTCTTTCTTTCAACGCTGGTTACTGGAGTACATGTTGCAACCACTTCACCTTTCATAATAACTCTCGACTTCTCAGTTACATTGGTAACTCTCACCGGGATAACCGTTCTGGATAGGTCGATGAGAGTTGAGATTACTAGTACTCCTTTTGGGCTATTACAGTTATCGGGATATTCTATGATGCCGTAGCGGAAATTTCTATTTTCGGCTATGGATCCAGGAAGTAAAAATTCGGTTCTTGCGGGTATTGGGATATCATCTTGAACTATAATTTTGTGGATAGATTTCACTCCATCATTAATTCCGAATAGGGCTATGTCCTCAGATGTAAAATGCAATTCGTTATTTTTAAAGTCCAAGGAAAAACTGTATTTCCTTAGAAAGTCCAATCCGAGTATGCAAGAATCAGTGATCTCTGTACATATGCCATGTGATGGTAAGCGGCACTTCCAAACGTGATGTTAACGTTTACTTTTCCATCAATGTCGATCTTCTCACCGGACACAGTCTGTAGGGTAACGCAGGGCAGCGTCCAGATAAGTTTGCTTTCCAGTTGCTGAGCCAAATCTTTTCGGATGATGGTAACGTTGGCTCCTGTATTTATAGTCATATTTCAGGGAACTCCATTAATATGTCTTATTATGAAAAGTCCATTACTGCCGCCTCTCACTGCAGAAATATGAAGCGCTTTAAACTGGGGCTTTTCATTATCTGGCAACCTCCGCCCCACGAGATGGCCACTAATTAGTTTCCCTGCTGTTTGTTAGGAGCGATCTTAACATCCGTACCCTGGGGTATTCTGCAGTTTTGTCATATTTGTCCTTCAGCACCGCAGTTACAGCACTTAACAGTCGGTTTCTTCTCACCAATATTCCGTCTCAAAGCGTTCAGTTGTCTAGTTAAATAGTCTAGACAAGCCGTGACTTGATCCCCTGGCTCCTGGACTTGAGCAACTCTGACTGGGTGGCGGTCTCGACGAGGCTTGCTGGGCTGCTTCGAATTTCATGGCATACGCTAAAGCGCTTTTCAAATCTTTAACATCCGCCATTCGCAGAGCTTTCTGTATTTCAGGGTCCCGGATGCCATCGATGAAATATTGCAGCGACAGGATTTCCCTCATTTCTCTCCAGCACTCCGTAAAGGCGAGGTGGGACAGCCTTTCAACGTCCGTGGTGAGTTCTTGGAGTGATTCGGTGGGCTTCTGTTGACGGGATTTTAATTGAAGCCATCTGTAGTCTTTTAAACATTTCACATCAAAGCGCAGCTCCAATGCACCGGATAGAGCTTCGAAGTCAAGTCTTTGGTTTTTTGGGAAGCGTCTGCAGGATATTCGCTGCGTCTGCTCTCAGCGAAGCGGCAGGCTTTAGTCTGGGAATCCCATCCATTCGCATCCGCCGCTATAGAAAAATGTGTTTTATACACTTGCCAGGAGGTCTTCCCATCATAAGTGGATAGCTTCAGAGAGGGACGAGGTGGCATAGGTAAAAATTTGAAACTATCAGAATTGCTCCCTGCCGTCGCTACAAACTTCTTTAAAGTATCGACTTCTTTCGCAATTGCTGAAACCCTGTCATAATTTGTCATTCGATTTGGTGTTGGATGGCAAAAACCCTTCCTTCGATTTGTTGTTCTACAACAGAAACTCTATCTTCTATTTGATCTTTGACAAAAGAAACTCTTTCTTCTATTTGTCCAACTTTAGTTTCAACAGTGTCAATTCTGCCTTCAATAGCCTCAAATTTGTTTTCTATTATGCAAGTAATATCTCTTTTCATTTCCTCTTGACCTGCATCGATCTTTTCTTGAATTACTTGCATCTCGCCTTTAACGGATTTCATCTCTTCCTTAACAGATTCTTGGCCCAATTTCATCTCTTCCTTAACGGATTCTTGGCCCAATTTCATCTCTGCTTGGAATGCAGCAAATGCAGTAGTCATCAACTGCCTCATCTGTTCTTCCATCGCTCTTGTAATTGGCATTCAAACCCCACTCCTGACACCAAAAATTGTTACGTGCGTACGGGTTCGTTACGAAATGAATGCACAAGTCCGATGAAAAATGAACAAAAATTTATTATTATCACAACAAATATGCTTAAATTTCCTAAAATATTCGTGCAGTATTACAATATCTCCCAGTAGTTATCTTTTAACGACTCAAACGTTCAAGAGAACTTAACTCAAAACAGCTAGAGAAAGCTAATCCGCGAATTCGCTACAAGAGTAGTTTTCTAAACAAACTCTGAAAACAACAACAAACTAAGTAACTACAACGAACTGAGAGGTTTTCCTCCTTTTATAAGATTTTAAAATCGCGCACAAGAATTTTCTATTACTTTCTCGAAATCAAAAAGAGATATTTATTAAATGTTACAATGCACGCGCTCTTGTATTTTCAATTTTCCGACTTAGCTTTCTCTTAATATTCGTCATGCACTGCCCTGCAATGGGAATAAAACAATTTAATTTATAATTCAACCAACATTAGCTATTTAAGTACCAAATCCGTAACAATATGAATCTTGTATTATAAAAACAGTCTTTAATCATTGATTTATTAACAGTGTCTATCCTTTCTTAAATTTTAATCTGCATGCCTCTTTTCCTAGCAATTTTAATCTTAAAATTTACTTTTTTTAATATTTTGTCTTAAAAATTTATGATAGAGAGCTTTAAAAGATGTAAATGTTAATATTGATTTTTAAAAGATCTAATTGTTATCAATACACTTGCAATCTTTATTTTATAGGCTTCTTTTTAAAACTTCTTGAAGTAAAAAAATTATACCTTTTTATATGAAAAGTTTGAAAATACATAGTTAAATTTTAGGAAAATATGTGTTTTAGAAGGATTTAAAAGCTTCAGAGAGTTAATCACGTTAATTTTTGTGAAAAGTTATTAATAAATTGAGGAAATGTATTATTAAAAGGGAGGAGGGGATTTAACATTGATTTTTCTGTGTTTGAGGCCATCATATCAACTTACGTTATTGTAGCTTCATTAAACAGCTCTGTTAAATCAAATTATAACTATATATAGCTAAATCAGGATTGAAGTGCAGTTTCAAAAATTTTATGGATGAAAAATACTGAGCTATAAAGAAATAAAATTAATTTTTCAAACTTCAGTCTGTAGGCAACTAATTATATATATCCCATCTGAATCAGTAATATTCTTCCAATGGTGTAATAGCTCCTTTATGCTGTTCCTAAAGAAATCAGCTGTCTGATTGGAGAAAAAATCTTGAATGTCTGTTTCGAGTGCCTCATGGGGACCGTATTCTTTTCCATCACTGAAATTTTGCAAGCTTCAAATTACCAATGACTTTTCATAACTAGTCACAATATGGTTAAAAAAAGATTTTTTTGCATGTGAATGAACAGCAAAGCAGATATTCTGATTTTCTCTTCAATGAGCATCTGCAAGTTTATATGAAACTCAACTGCCGTGCTTAGATATGATTTAAAGTTGCCTGAATTGGCAATCAATAGTTGATGATGATGAATTAACCTTTACTGCCATCTCTTAAACAGCTGCATATGGATTTTATTCAAACACAGCTGTAAATACATCACTATTAAAACAGACGGAGTGCTCACAGCAGCTGCCATATTTTAAGGTAAGTTGGCTTTGCCAAAATGTACAGAACCATTGTTGGCACCAGCAAATATTCAAAATACTTTTACCATATACTTCCTGCACATTGCACATTTTGCAGCATGTGCAGTTTTTGTTCATTGGTATTTATACATCCATGAAAATCACTTGTTTAAACAGAGCACATTTTAGCAATTCTATGCGATAAGCATCATTACGAGATGCAGACACCAGGGGTTTTAACAAATAACTAAATTTCTTAGCAACTATGACCAACCCTCTTAGTAGTTTCTCAACATTTACTACAGGCTACTTCTACAAGGAAGCAACAGAATAATAGAACAAGCTGTTAAGGCTCACGTTTAAGATTAACATTCTACTTTTAAACTATGCAGCTTGCCACAAATTATTCAGTTTGCATGTGAATATTATGACTAGCCAAGAAATGCAAGATGGAATTCACTGTTCATAAAATTTGAAGCATAATTGTTACAGATTGGAAAAGTAACTCCCTAACATATATAAGATGTCATTTAATTACTTAAGGTTTGAGTAATGAGTGCAAAATATTTTCTTTTCTTTCTGAAAAATATGTTATATCATATCTGTTACTTTTTGTTTCTTGATTTCTTTAAAAAAAATCAATTTGTTTTTAATCTTTTAGAAGTGTGAATGTTTTACATCCTTTTTTCCTTTGAATATGGTTGTATTTAAATTTTAATTGTTTTGATTTAGGTTTGGAATGTAAATATGACAGTTTTTCCTGATTTCAGTAATCCAGCTACAGCACAGTATTGGCAAGATCATTTGAAAAGTTTTCATGATGAACTCAAATTTGATGGTATCTGGCTTGTAAGTAATTTATCAAAACTTTTATTATGTCTGTAAAATGCAATATGGTGCTGTTTAATTTTTATGAATCTTTATGAAATATGTTTTATAAGTTGTTAATAAACTGCACCTAATGCTTGATAACAGTTTATACAAAGTATGTTAATTCCTCTCTAAAGAACAAACTTAAGTGAAAAATGTTTGGAGACCAATTTCATTTAAAATGAAGAAGTGAATGTGGTGATCAGGAGGTAACAGATAATGCTTACTGAGAAATTTATTCTCATTATTTTGATGTATGTCACTGTTGAGAGAATGCTTAGTACATGTGTTTTTAGAATCAGATCATCGATGTATTTAAATCATAATAAGAAGAATATCTAATGGATTCTAGAGAAACAACTGTTTTTGTAAAACATCTATCAGCTTATCAACTGGTTTGAAAATTTATTTTAAGAGGTTAGTATTAGTAATCAAAGCCTTTTCAGAGCTTTTTAAGTTCCATCTGAATTCAGATGTGGAAAAAAGAAACATTTTAGAGCTGTCTTGTGATAGTACATTGAAAACAAAATTTTGACAGTAAGAAACTGATTGACTGTTAGAAAAAGATGAGTTATCCATGTGTGGCACCATGTTTGTACAAAACTTTCAGCAATTACTGTGATAAAAAAGCAAATATTATGAAGAAAATCAATGTGGAACAGAGAATAAGGGGGCTATGTTCAGTTTGATACCAAGAGTTCAAAAAATGTACATTGAAAAAAGGCTTCTCTCAGGTTGTGATTCATTTATTCAATAATGAAATTGTTCAAAATACTTATTTATTTTCTGATTTTCATGTGAAATGTTTCTGAATTATGAGTACTGCCTCCATTGTGTACTATAAATGTTATGTCTATTTACATTTTCTAAAGACTTGTCACTTACAGGAATGGCTATCTATGGGAGATGAATGGCATGAAAAGTTTCACTGTATGTGATTCGCCTTATTTTCATCGGTTTTACCATTTTTTAATAACATATTATAATATTTCTAAGTTGCTTTTTTTAATAACTGTTCTAGAAGTTTATTTATTTTTATTCGTTTTTTTTTAAATTTTCTGTTTTAAATTAATTTTGTTAGTTTTGAAAGATGACTAGTTTTTTTATTTAATATTGTCATACATTTTAAAATGTTGCTTTTAAATAACATTTAAAAATAATTTTTAGGATATGAATGAACCTTTGAACTTTAAAAATGGAACCATTAATGGCTGTCCAGAATCCTTATTAGACGATCCACCATATGTGCCTGGTAGACCCTATCCATTACGAACTTTGACTATATGTATGACAGCAAAACATTACTCTACTGATCATTATAATGAGCACAATTTGGTGGCTTTTCGGGAAGCTGCTGCAACATACAAGTAAATGACTTTTTACGGTGTATATTTATTGATGTATTTAACTTCTCATTCTTATATAAATTTGTAATACTTGATTCAAAAGCAACTGTGCTTTGTATTCATTCATTTTCTTTTCATTTTTAGAAAACCTTTCTGCCTTAATTTATTTAAAATGGATAATGTGCAGTATATATTTATTACATAATTTTTATTTGCCTAATTAATAAAAGTGTAAAAAGCTGCTGAAAGTTTGGATTTGAAATAGTGTATGCCATTTAGTATCCTTGCAGTGCTTGTGAGCCATGCTATGCCTCATCTCAAAATCCTAAAAATTTAACAAAACAAATGAAAACTGATTTATAAGTTACAGTAAAAATGAAAAAAACTAAAATGAACAAATTGGGGGGGGATACTGCCACAGAATGAAAAGAGCCTAAGCTTGCATCTTTCTTTAGAAATCCTGTCCATGAGTGCTAATATGCGTAGGTGATTCAGTTTAGGTTTTATTGGTTATGCAATGCTTTGAAGAATTTTTTTTTTATTGTCCTGTGTTCTTTTTAATTTGTGCATGCAGGTTCTTCTTCTTCTTCCCCCCTTTTTTGAGATTATTTCTTAAAGTTCACACTAAAGCATTAGATTTCCTACTTTTTTATATATATGAGAGACAGAAATTGCAGTGTAATAAATATCATAGATTATTATTATTATAGTTAATATTGTTACTGTTTTATTGTGCTTAACTTATCATTTAAGTTTTAGCACAGCATGTAATATTATCTATGATTTCACATAAGGGTGATACATGTTAAAATATATTTGTTCATAACATTTTGACATCATCATAATTAGCTTATTGCTTTGCTTTTTTTTATTAGATTTTTGATTTACTTAATTATTATGCAAAGGTAGTTATTAATCTTTTAACTAGTTAAAAAAGCTTAACAAATTTTGATGAGACATTTAATTATTACTTACATGCATTACACACACACACACACATACCAAAAAAAAAAAAAAAAAAAAAAAAAGTAATACTTGAGTTTTTGAATGAATGTTTTTCTGTCATGTTTGTAATAATTAGGTGAAAAGCAGATTTTAAATTCAAAGAAATGCATAGTCTGTAACATGTGTAACAATCACTTAACAGATATAATTTATCTCTTGAACAACTAGAACTTGAAAAGTTCTATTCCTTTCACTGGTTTAATTTCGGGAACACTGGTAGTTCAACCCAAGTTCAAAGTCTGGTGGATAGGATGGCTGTATGGGTGTTTTTGTACTTTTACCTATGTGTGATGTGGATAGAGCCAGTTTCCTTTAAGAAGTCCTCTTTGAAGGCATTCTTTCCTTTAGGCAGATAGCCCTCAGCTGCTTTGCTGTAATCAACCAAATCAAACCATCTTTACTTCTCAGCCTTCTGATATGACTATGGACTTATCAATTATGGAAGTTTAAAGTATTTCTACTTCATGTAAATCATGCATTTATCATAATATTCCTCTTATTAATATTATGTTTGTAGTATTTTAGGTTTCATGTGTTATTTAGAAGGTTATTTTTTTCACCTTAGGATTGTTAAATTTTGTATTTTATATACAGAGTACTGGTAAAGCTTTTTTATTTTATATCGTTTTTGCTTCCTGATAGCACACATATAAAGCTTAAGCTATTTTCTTTCAGTACAACTAAAACTGTAACCCAAAAACTAAAACTGTTTTGTCTTCAGTTTCACAATGCTGTACTTCTGGATAGTAGGAAACACCTGCATTGGGAAATTATAGCAGAGGAGTAGTTTAAAAAAAAAAGCTTAGAAATATTTTTAAAAAATTGGTTATTTCATGAAGTTATTAAGCATGTAGATACTATTTTATCATTTATTCCATAAAATTTTTATATAAAATCTATCCTTCCGAATTTTCGTATTTAAGTTTAATCATATGTATAACAGTCTGATATTAAGTGTTATAAAAGGCAGTACTGATTGATGGACATGCTGCTTAATAGCTAGTTCATCTTTAAAAATGAGGATCAGGTGTACATTTCGGTAATGTATATTTCCCCTTCCTTATGGCTTCCATAGCAACATTTTTTTCCCCCTAATTAGTTAGTAGTACAAATGCAGTATCTAATGTAGAAAATATGTCCAAATTGGTTATTTGTCTTTACATAGGTTTTTGGTCAACAGTAAGCTGTTATTAGTTGAGTTTCTGCTGTGAATCATTAACTTATATGCAAATTTTTAATAATAGCATGAGTTTTTATACTTCTAATCCCCCACATTGTTAGAAAAGCAATTTATACTATTTGATCTTATGTGTATTTTTTGTGTTGCCTTTTGGGTGTAATAAATAATATATCAGTTTCTGTATTTTTTATAATTAATGTTGCTTTCTAAATTTTCGGTTTTAGTGCTCTTAAAGATATCAGGAAAAAAAGACCTTTCATAATTTCTCGTGCAACATTTGCTGGACAAGAAGTGCATAGTGGTCATTGGAGTGGAGATATAACATCTAATTGGGAAGATATGCGGTATACTATACCTTGTAAGTTTTTTAACTAGCTTATTTTTTATTTTAAAACAGGATCCCAGACCAGTTATTTTTATTATTGAATGATATAACTACTTTTAGACAGATTTCTTAAAAACTAGAAGCATAATATTCTAAAATCAGTCATGTTCGAGATATAGCGTTTTTAGCTCAGTCATAAAAATAAGTGAAATCATTAAAATACTTAAAATGTTTTGAATTTCTCCTGAAAAAATAAAATTGACTAAGTCAATATGCTCAGAATTAATAAAAATTTTTAATCACCAAGAATTTTTTTTCTGTTTAAATAGTTTAGAATGAAAACATTTATGTTCCTGATTAGTATCTAGCCGATCTGGAAAATATGCATTTTAACACTTTTTGAAATGGTCATAAGCATAAAATGCAAAATAAATTAAAATGCATTTAAAATCTATCCCGTATTCAGTTTGGGACAAACCATATTATTCATAATTTAAAAAACCAAAAGTGCAATGGTAAATTGCATGAAAGATGCAAAAAATGTTAAAAACCAAAAATGAAAAAAAGAGTAAAGTAATTTACGCTTTTCATCACATGTTTATTAGATGTGGTAATTTAATTTAATTAATTTTGCATTATTACCACCGCTTGTTGCTGCTGTCAATGTGTGATTAGATAAGGTTTTGAACTGCTTTTTACTTTATGCCTAGTCATTTATGTGCGTAAATGTATATATAGGAAAAGAAATAAGACAAATCTTAAAAATATAAATATTGTCTAAATAAAAGAAAAATTATCCTTAAGTAGCAAAAGTATGTTGTATTTAAATTATATTGAATACTAAAATTATAATTTCCTAAGTATTGCAAAAATGCAATAGAAAAAGTTCAGAATGAGTAAGAACAATTTTTAGAACTAAAGCAAATTGAAGAAAGCAAAGCTATTGGGACAAATCATTAAAACAGTCAAACTGAAATATTTTTGCTCTCCTCAGGGCGAAGGACAAAAATAATTCAGTTTTCTATTCTAATTAAATGGTAGCCAGATCAAAATTTCTGTTACAATGCAATTTTTAAACCACAAACACAAGTTATGAACGATTGCTAAAAACCATATCCTATGGTCATCTGAGCAACTAAAAAAAAATAAACTTTCTTAATGTAAAGTACAAGTAATTTCCAAAAAAGATACAAAATTGACAAAATATATAAGTACCTAAATCAAATAAATATGTCAAATAAACAACTGAAAAAAGCCTTAAACAGGATTCATATGGTCCTTAAGTGTACTTAAAAGTCCTTATGTTTTTTGAAATCAATTTTTGGTCCTCAAAAGTGCTTAATTTTGGCCCAAATCAACAAAAGGTCCTTAATTTCAGTCGTCTGAAATTTCTGTCTGCTTTTACGACTGCCATTTTGAATGTGAATTAGCATTTTGGAGGAATGTTTTTGTTAATTCACTGACAAATATGGTTATCTTTTGAATGGGTTCGTGGGTTATAATTTGTTCTTTTTTCTAATATAAATGGTGGGATACTCGAGTTTCTGAGCAAGAAGTAAAACATAAGCATTTCAAAATCATTTAATTTTTTCTAATGAAGAGCTCTTAAACAACTTTCGCTTTTAGGGATGTGAATTCTTTTATTAAATGTGTTGACTCCTACGTGGCAGTATAAGTTATGTACAGCGCATTGTTTCTGCGCAAATTCAAAGTTATGTACAGCGTATTGTTTCTGCGCAACTTTAGTTAGTTAAGATTTGAACTCCTAGCGTAGCCTACATGTTTTGATCCCGTATGGTCGGGAATTTATCATTTTTGATTTAGATTTTTAGTTATGATACAGTCCATGAAATAAAATTGTTGTTGTTGTTGTAAAGTTGTCTTTAGTATAGAGTCTAACCAGCGACCTCAAAACATTGGTCAACGTCTAGCCGGAGCTAATTAGAATAAAAAATGGCTAATGAAAACCTAACTACATTGAACAGAAAACGTGGTGGTATTAGATCACAAATTAGGAAATTAAAGTCGTCTGTCAGTGGAAACAGTGATGATTTTGGTTTCGAACAAAAGAAGTATTGCAAGAAAAAGTTCAAGCACAAGTTAAAGTAAAACAATTGATGAACTTCGCTTGGATTATTACAAAGTGTGCAAAGATGAAGAAATATCAGACATCGAAGCTACTTTTGAAGAAATCGAGATGGATATTACCAATGTTGAGGTAAGCCTGAAATGTCTTTATACTTCATTATGTAATAAGAATGCAAATAATAGTATTCCCAGAAACAAGAAGTAATTCATTGAATTATAAATTGCCTGAAATAACATTACCTAAATTTTCTGGCAATTTCAAAGACTGGAATTTATTTAAAAACCAATTTGTAGCTTTAATTGCATCTAATAGACAATTAACAGATTCTCAGAAATTGTTTTATTTACAATCTTGTTTAATTGATGATGCAAAGCAGATACAAACAATAGATGATACATTTTCTTCCTTATTTAAGGCCCTTGAAAAAAGATATGATAATAAGAGACTGGTTGTAAATTCTCATATCAATGAATTACTTTCTATTGAAAAAATAGTTCATGAAAATCCTAAAGATTTACGCTCATTAATTGATAAAGTTCAGAAACATTTAAGAGCATTAAAAGTTATGGAATTAAATATGGATAAATTAAGCGAAGCTTTGCTGATTAATATTATTCTTAATAAAATAGATAAAGAATCGCGTAAGCAATTTGAAATGTCATAAAATAATAATGATTTATGTGAATGGGATTCTTTCATGACATCCCTTCAAAAGCGATGCCAGGTGTTAGAAAATATGCAAAACAAAACTGTATTTGCAAAAACAAAACAAAACATTCTTCCAAATAAGGTTCGATCGTTGGTGACAAAAACTAATAATAATGATAAATTTATGTGTCCGGTTTGCAAAGATAATCACGCGATTTTTAAATGTGAAACATTTTTAGCATTAAATCCAATGGAACGATACGAAATGATTAAAAGGCTTTCTTTGTGCATTAATTGTTTACGATCTAATCATAAAGTAGCTTCCTGTCAGTCTAGACACTTTTGCTCGGTTTGCAAATTAAAACATAATTCACTTCTTCATCAGAATGACGGAATCCATGTCGTCTGCAACAAGTGGGGGAAAGCAAAGTGAAACTACGCCCTCCCCAGAGAACCACAAAAATGAGGCTGTTTTGAATAGCAATAAATCAACAGAAAAAGCCTTATCGGCGTGTCTTTTTTCGAAAAATAAAACTGTTCTGCTTTCAACTGCTATTGTTTGGGTTAGAAATATTTATGGCCAATTCGTTAAAGCAAAAGCAAGTTCTTGATTCAGGCTCAATGTCAAATTTTGCTACAAATGAATTCTGTGAGCGTGCAAATTTAAAAAAGGAAAGAATAAATATTCCCGTTTCTAGTTTAAATGGGCAAATTTCAAACATTAAATCTCGTACTTTTGCTTCTATTTTTAATGCAAATAACTCGTTTTCTGCTTCATTAAATTTTTTAGTTGTAAATAAAATCACAGATTTAGTACCTTCAACAAAATTAAATATTGAAAATATAGATATTCTTAATACATCAAGTTTGGCTGATCCAGAATTTGCAACTCCATCTAGTATAGATCTGCTTTTAGGAGCAGAAATATTTTATGACATTTTTATTAATGGACAAGTTTAAATCTTCTACGAAATCACTCGTTTTTAGAAATTCTGTGTTTGGTTATATAGCTACTGGTTCTTTGAAAACATCCTTTGAAAACTGTCAGAAATTATTGTGGGACTTATCGGTAACATTTTGATAATATTGATAGATTAGTAGAAAAATTTTGGTTAGTGGAAAAATATTGGTGAAGAAAAGTCAATTCTTAGCCAAGAAGAAGAATTCTGTGAACAACATTTCAAAGACACTTACAGACGAAATGAAGATGGCAGATTTATCGTAAAAATGCCTATGAAAGACGAACAATTAGGAAATTCAAAGCACTTAGCCAATATTAGACTCAATCAATTAGTTAAATGTCTTAGCAAAAACGCTACATTGCAACATTTATATCAAGATTTCATGACAGAATATGAAAATTTGGAACATATGGAAAGGGTCGATGATAATTCAAAACCAGAACTTGAATATTACCTTCCCCATCATAGAGTATATAGACCAGAGAAGTCAAGTACAAAATTAAGAGTTGTGTTTAATGCTAGTGCCCCAAGCTCAAATGGATTAAGTTTGAATGATTTACTTTTAGCGGGAGCAGTCCAAGAAGATACTTTTTATATTCTTGTGAGATTTAGAAAACATCAAGTTGCAGTTATTGCGGATATACAAAAAATGTACCGGCAAATTTTGGTTGATGAATCCCAAAGAGACTTACTTCGAATCTTATGGAAGAGAAACCTTAGCGACTCACCTGTGACATATAGACTCAAAACGGTGACTTATGGTACTAAAAGTGCTCCATTTTTAGCCATTAGATGCATAAAGCAAGTTGCATATGACGAAATGCATAAATATCCTGAAGCTGCCAAAGCTGTCTTGTCAGACTGTTATGTTGATGATGTCATCTCTGGTTCATCAAACTTAGACTCAGCAAGGGAATTGAAAAATCAGCTTATACAGCTTTTTCATAGTTGTGGAATGACTTTGCACAAATGGAACTCTAATTCTCCTGAACTGTTGGATAGCCCTTCTACAAGCTCTGAGCTTTCATTCTCCTCCAAAAGTGATAATGTGGTTAAAGCTTTAGGTATTACATGGAATTCTCAGAAGGATGAATTCAGCTTTAAAGTCTCAATCAAGGAGAAATCATCATATACCAAAAGAGACATTTTATCGACAATTGCCAGACTTTATGATCCTTTAGGACTGATTGGTCCGGTAATCACCAAAGCCAAGATATTTTTACAGAAATTATGGGTTCAAAAACTGAGTTGGGATGAACCACTTTTTTGCAACTATTGCTCACGAATGGCAACAGATAGTTTCAAATTTAAAGACTGTTGGAAAACATAAAAAT